TGCTCAGGCTGAAGAAGTCTCTGTTGCTAGGGAAAGCCTGACCCAGCTGGAGTAGACTTGTGTTGAAAAGGCTTTAGGATTGTGAAAGGGATGTGCTGGATTGACTTGGTGACTCAGAGCTGCCTTGGTGCTGCTTTGTCTGAGACCTTTTGGTGTTGAGAGAGCCAGACAGTGGTGGTTGCTCCATCTTTAACTTCTGGCTAGTTGAGAGGATATTGAGACTGTGCAGTGTAGTACAGCCTTCTAATGTCATCCAAAAAAGTAAAGGGTCAAAGGCAAGGCTTAAAATGTTGAGGAGTGTGGGTTTTTTTAAAGAAAAACTATATAGTTGTGTTTCTTTAGAACTTCTAAGTGGAGCAACCTGGAGGAATACAAAACTTGTAACTACACCATGATGAAATTGCTTCTTGTAGGAAATGAATCCTTCTCTTATTAAATCCAGTGAATGTGTGAGCTGTCAGTGCTGCCCATGAACACCTTGGTATTGATAGTGAATTAATGAATTATCTGTTAGTGAAATAGATAAATTTGTGTCCAGCTGGGATGTGATGTAGCAAGAATTTGTAGTGTAGGGTGAATGTTGAACAGAAAGCCTTCTGCTGCTTTGTCTGTGCTAGCATGAGATTTTGCAGAAAGAAGGGAAGGGTTCCTTCCAAAGACTGAGGGGCATCAGCCAAGTCCTTTCAGGAGTCACCAGTGACCTGAAGTAACTGGGAGATATAGGAAAAGAGTGAGGAGCTGCTGTGTGGAGTAAATGACTGTTTGTAAATAGAGGATGATGAGATAGCAGGTGTTTCTCAAGGTGACAAGGCAGTTCTGCATGTCAGAATGGTTTTAATGATCCAAGTAAGCTTTGGCAAATCATAGTTAAGGTTGAGAGGAATCTGCTGGATCACTGCACTCTGTGACACAGCTTGTTTGGAGCCTGCCCAGCTTGTCCTCAGCAGTGGTGCTGTGTGTGTGTGTGTGTGTGTGTGTGTCTGTGTGTATCTGTGTGTGTGTGTGTGTGTGTGTGTGTGTGTGTGTGTGTGTGTGTGTGTGTGTGTGTGTGTGTGTGTCTGTGTGTGTGTGTGTGTGTGTGTGTGTGTGTGTGTGTGTGTGTGTGTGTTCACAGCCCCAGCTCTGCTCCCAGCCAAGGCACCACTTACATGGAGACTTGCCAGGAGGCTCTGCCAGATCAAGGAGCATTAATTACTCTCGTCGTATGAACCTGTTATGTGCAATCACTTTTCCTGGTAGTTCATTGACCCCATCTCAGTTACATGAGCAGGCTTGGATCTGTTCTCTTACTAGGAATGGGCTGCAGGTCGTCTGGATGACTGGGGTGTGGAGTGGGTATTTCTATTGCCTTTGGAAGTTTATATGCCCTGCAGTTTGCCCATGGGATGCTCCCAGAAAAAAGAGCACAAGTGGGCTTCTTGTTGGACACCAGATAGAGTTCAGGGCTTCTGGACTAAGGAGCTGTTTCCAGGGAGAAATTTTTGCTTGTCTAGGTAAAGAGTGCTTTGCTTCTCTTCATTATTTTACCGTATTGGGGAGTTATCTTTTAAACAAATAAATACATTTGTCTTTAAAGAACAAATTTCTGACTCTGAATTACGTACTTGGTTTAGGCCAAGTCTGATAAATGTTAGACAGTTTGAGGAAAGGCTTGGAAATCTGTAGGCAGCTGAATGAAAACAGCATGAATCTGACTATTGGTAATTATCCTGGGTGTTTATGATCTCCCCAGAACTAGTGGGGCAGGGTAATAAACAGCTGTTGCATTTTTATGTTCTGTTAGTGAGCAAAATAAATACATAATGGTTAATTTCCAATTCTGAATTGAACGTGAAACAAAGACAAGTAATCCTAGTCATATTAAAAAAGTTCTCTAAACTGGAATATCCAAAACTGTTAAATGGAATATAAATGCTCTAAAGAGAATTTTCTGTGCACTTCATTGTGTCTGACAGACCGGTTTATATTGTAAGTCCATATAGGCTTTCTCTCAAATGGCATCCAAAGAAAACACAGCACAGCCAGATGGAAATTGGAGTTGACTTTGAGCTCTGATTAATTTGTTTTTCATATAATCCTTTTCAGGGCAGCGAGAAAAACGTGAGAAAAAGATGATGTATTGTGGTATAATTAACTCTGGTGAACAATGTGAACTTTAAAAGAAATTTGTTTTAAAAAATATCTGCTTTAATGGGAACTGATTTTTCCAAGTGTCAGGATGGCCCACAATGCTTGTCCTATTTCATATTTGTGTCTCTGCAGTTCTCATTATATGTGTAAAGTTCTGCAAAACATAACTCACTAGATGAACTAATAAGTTCTTAAATCAAAAATGTCAACAGCCACTCATCTGTGATCAGTTTCTAATGTGGGACCCCACTGGACTTCATCCTTTTCCATGCTAAGAGGATGAGGTTTCGTAACTGAGATGAGTGCATACTTTTGCCATAAAGCTCTAGAAATTTCATTGATTTATAAAAGCATTAAATATCTAAAATTAAGTAACTTTTGAGCTGAAACAAACATAAAGCTAAAAGCAGTATGACTTTGAAAGCCCAGCCTCAAACAGAGACATGAACAGATATATAATGCTTTAGTTAATGGTTGCTGCCATTTCTCTTACAAATTGTTCTTTAGGGTATTGTAACTCAGCTGTTTTTAAACCCATCACTCTGGAACCTTGCCTGCAAAATGTCAGCGCAAGTGCAAATTTTATTTCTTTAACAAAATAAAGGGCTTGGAGCAGTTAGGCTTTCTAAACTTTTATGGCAGGAAAATAAATTCCACTACTTTTGCTTTGCCACAGCAAGAGCCATACTGTTCACCTTGGTCTGCCAGTAGGCAGAGGTGGAAACCAAAATGGTTTAAGGGCAGGCACTGTGTGTTTTAACTTGCCTTTTCAAAACGAGAGAAGCCCACTGTCAGCCTCTGGGCAGAGGGCACAGTCCCTAGGGTGAATGGAGGGTTCATGGCTTTAGAAGATGATTTCTGAAGCTGAAAGCAAGATGTGGGTACCAGCTCATTAAAGGAATTTAATAAGGCTTGAGGTTGTTTTTCCTATAGGTTCAGGGGAGAGCCCCTCGCTTCTTCTGCACTAACCAGTGCATCTCTTACCAGATCGACTACCTTGGACTTCTTTAACATTGTCTCTTCCATCTGGCTTCTAAAGCTGGGTACTGCCAACTCATTCACCCTTTTTAGTGTTTTCCTGAAGTTCAAGCCTTGACACATATTCCTGCAGTAGAGTCCAGTTTTTCTGAAATCAGTATGTACGAAAATGGGGATTTTCTGTCTCAGTGCTCATAAAGACCAAGTGTTCCTGGTGGTACATTAGTCTTGGGGTTTATTACTGTTTTTGAAAGTATAAGGAATGAACTTTCTTGCACATAGTTACTTCAGTGCAGCAAGTCACATTTAATAGCCTTTGCTTTCAGCTTGAATCTTTACAGAAGGAAGATTAGGTAATAGTTTGTTTAGAAACATCTGTTTCCTAACAAAGATCTTGCCCTATATTATTTTTTTATGCTGTCCCTCTAACCAGAAAGTCCTTTAGTCTTTTAAAGACTTAGAAGTCTTTAAGTCCTTGTTGGGTATTAGAGTTGCTGTGGTTTTAGCATGCTCATGCTCTGGATCCTTTGTTAGCTTAAGTTATTAGCCTTAGATAAGTGTTGTGGGATGGAAGGACTGGTTTCTATTGTCAGCACAATTTCTGAATCTCTGGACAATTTGTCTGGGTTAGAATTTAAGTTTTTTGGCTCCAGTGCTTGTTTAGACCTTTCCCTTGTCTGAGGAAAAGATGTTCTTAAAATAATTAAGCCTAGCATGCATTAAAAGAGAATCTTTCCACAAAATTGAATTGCTTGGGGTTTATTTGAGTTTTGGGTTGCTTAAATAAATAGGCATTTTGCTTTGTTTGCTTACAAGCAACTTAGTATCTCTAATGGGGAATCTTTTTTCCATGTTTTCCAAAGAAGACCAGCTCTGAGGGTTTTGAACAACAGCTCTCTACACTCTGTAGTTCTTTGTTTTGCATCCAAGTGGATTGTATGTGTCTAAATATTACATTATTAACACACATGTCTGCCAGCCCCTTTAACATTGTCATTGTGATATGTCTCTAATATGGAAAGACTTAATACATAGATTTATTAGGGAATAATCCTTTTGGTCATTGTTTTCTTGAGAGTTCATAGAGTTCAATCTGCTGTTTTCAAGGAAAGATTCTTCACTGTGATGCTGCATGTTCTTGTAAATAAATTTATCCTGTGTTTCTTAGAACTCAAGAGACTTCTTTATATCTTGGTGCCAAAATTAGTGAAACTTGGTTTACTGGAACATGCAAACAGGGATTCAGTGCAGTAAATCCAAGCACTTTGTTTTCTTCCCAGTCACAGAGCAGGAAGTGCTGACCAGCTTTCCATGGATTTAGTGTTGTTGCTGACCTACTGCAAGACCAGTATTCCAAGAATTAGGGCTTGTTTGGCGTGTGACCCTGGAAAGAAAGAGTGATTTGAGGCCTAAGTTGTAATTTTCTGGGAAATGCCCTCTTTGTGTGCATGTGTCTTAAGCAGGGCGGGGAGTGAATTAGTAACATAATGACCAGTGGATCACTTTCTGTTTTACCTGACTGGCTTGAAGTGATGTGGCTCAAGCCCTGCTCTGGGCACACATTCATGAGCTAAATTGAAGCAGGGTGTGCAGGTGCATTTGGTTTATCTTTGTATTCCTCAGCTCTTCTCATCAGCAGTAATAAACCAACATTCTCTGTTGGTTGCAGAATACAGGGAGAGCCGCCATCCCCGTGCCGCTCCTGGTAGCGCTTAGTGTGGCAGGTTAAATGAAATGAAGATTTCATGGAGGTGTAAATCAAGCACTCATTTTCTATTTTAACACTGTAACCTAGGTAAAAATTTTATGGCCATCAGAATATCCTTGTTCCAGTTTCAAAAGGCTTAGGAATGCCTTATTTATTAACTTTTCTTCCTCCTGCTCCATTTCAGTTTGCGGGCCAAATGTCGACATTCGCAATGATATCCATGAGCTGAAGCGCCTAGAGAACTGCACGGTGATCGAGGGTTTCCTACAGATCCTGCTCATCTCCAAAGCTGAGGATTACCGCAACTTCCGCTTCCCAAAGCTCACTGTCATCACTGACTATTTGCTGCTGTTCCGTGTGGCAGGCTTGGAAAGCCTCAGTGATCTCTTCCCCAACCTCACAGTCATTCGTGGCAGGAACCTCTTCTACAACTATGCCTTGGTTATCTTTGAAATGACAAATCTGAAAGAGATTGGGCTTCACAACTTGAGGAACATCACCCGCGGGGCCATCCGGATCGAGAAGAACTCTGATTTGTGTTACCTCTCCACAGTGGACTGGTCTCTCATCCTAGATGCAGTGTCCAATAACTACATCGTTGGGAATAAACCTCCAAAGGAATGTGGGGACTTGTGTCCGGGAACAATGGAAGAAAAACCATTGTGTGAGAAGACATCTATTAACAATGAGTACAACTACCGCTGCTGGACCACCAACCACTGCCAGAAAAGTAAGATATGAGTAGATATCCTGTTTTTGTTACCTCTTTGGGAAGTAAACATTTAGTTTTGTGGTTTTAAGCTCTTCAGCAGCTGAAACTTTTATTCTAGTTGCGTATAGTTTACGTGAGTTATCCAGTTGCCACATAAATAGATTCTTCCCCAGTCAATAAAGATTTGTCTCACTTAAATTAAAAAAAAAAAGAAAAAAACAACAAATCAGCAACTGTAAAACAAACCCAAACAAACTCCCATAGTTACTTCCTCATGGAAAGTGTAAGTATGGAACCCGTGCCATTGTAGCAAAGCTGGAGGCAGCTTTACCTCCCTTGAGGACTTTGGCAGGAGGTGGCCATCGAGTGCCATCTCCTCCTGCTGAAGTGACATTCCATGTGTGCCAGAGCTGTTGCCGTGCTGAAGCTGTTCACTGGACTTTGTTTTTTGCTTCTCTTGGCATGTACCTCCAGACATTCCTGTAATGGTAAATCCTGTACGTAAGGACTTGTTTACTGACATAAATTTTCACAGTACTGTCTGTAGAGTCAAAGAGTCCATGAATATCTTGATTCCCAGTGAAGTTACCCTTGCCTGTTTTATTCTTATCTGGCAGGTTTATGTCTTTCTGATAGCAAGTATTAGCAAAAACAAAACCTGATCTCTTCTCACTTTTTAAAAATAGAGTAAACAAACACATAGTTTACTCAGGTAACATGATTACATGGCAGGCTTTTTGAGTTCATCCTGTAACTTTACGAAAGCTGAGCCCTGCAATATCAGTAGGGCTTAATTACAGTCCTCACTGGGAGGAACAGTTCCTAAATTCCACATGCAGTCTTGACCAAAGCTGCCATAATGATAGGAAACACCACAGTGTCAGAAATCAGGACTATATTCACGTTACCTTCATCTGGGATGTTATGTTTTTCTAAAGTGGCTTGTCAGTTTCTTGTGGAGTCCTCCTGTTCAATTAGAGCTGCAATTAAAGTACCTTGTGGGGCAGTTTCAGTCAACACATGCCAAAAATACCTCTGCAAAAAGGCATTTGGAGTATGTGCTTTTATCAATACTTACAGGAAATAAAGTTCGTTTTTTAAACAAAGCAAAGAAAACCCCTCAGCCTGCTACTGGGAGACTTTGTGCTTTGCCCAGGGCGAGGGGAGTGTAGCTATGAGTCCTGCAGGCCAAATTTATGTCTTCATTAACAGAGTGTAACCCTGTTGTCTACAGAGGGTGACCAAGGTGACTCCTGTGCAACCTCATTGCCCTCAGTGGTTTGAATGGATGTAACGAGAGTGTATTTAATGAGATATAACGACTTACTTGCTTTCTGTTGAGTGCTTTGCCTGTTTGGAGTAGAAGAAAGTAACGTGCAAAAAAACTTTTTCGGCATCTAAGGGACTGTTAAAATAATTTGGATCCCAAATACGTGAGAAGAAATTTGTTTAAATAAAATGAGGTCATAGTTAGACTGTGATAGCAGGACTTTGAAGGCAAGGGTAGGTAATGGGGTTTTTTTCCATATATGCTTTCATCTCCTTTCATGGGAGATTGTGAAGAAAAAAGCAAGTGTTGGAAAAGAACCTTGAAAGGCTTGTTAAGAGCATTACAGTGTGGAAAAACAATTTGGTTTAGATTATCTTAGGATGTACAGCATATAAAGAAATTATCAAGTCCTAATCAATAAAAAGAGTGAGAAATCTGGACCCGTTCTAATCTGTTTGTTGTGATAAGCCACAGACTTTGAGGAAGATGACTTTAAATTTGCAGGCCAGTCATCTAAAAAGAAAACAACCCCAAAGCACTCCTGCTCTGAAGAAAAACAAGGGAGGTATAAAAGTGCAGTTGTTCTCAAGGAAGCTTTTTGTCTCCCCTGCTAGATTGCTCGGGCACTTTGGCAATGAACTCCTGATCAGGAGAGGACTCTTGCAGTACAGAATCACATGAGACATGAAAAAGAATAGAAGGAAGAACTTTTCAGTTACTGAGTGTTTCAGTCAGCATTTTCCTACTGGTGGAGATATGACACCTATGTTATTTTCCAGGGAATATTTTTCTAGTGCAGTATCTAATTTAACCCTGACATTCTCCTTGTGCGTCACAGTAATGTTAAGCTGAAAGTGCTCTCTATCTTTCAGGGTTCCATTGTGCCTTTTTATTTTTCTTTGCTCTGGCTCTGTGGAGGAGTGTGTATTAAATCTCTCTTGTGTTTAGGTTTTACGCTGAAAGATCTGAAGTTGGTGGGTAAATGCTGTGTGGGAACACTTGGTACTTTAAGTAGCCTGGCTTCTGTTTAGTTTTGCCATTGAGTGGAAGTTGTTTTTTTTCCTTCTTTTTCTTGCTCACAAACAAAGGAAGAAGCTTGTGCTTCCTTCAATATAACTTGTGCAGGAACAATGCTGAGGAAGGAGGGAGGGAAGGATATGCTGTGTCTGACAGAATAATCCATGGACATTTCTATAAAAGAGCAAGCTACAAAGAAACTGTAACTTTTATATTTTCCTGGGTATTTTTAAGGTTCAGCGTAAAGCGTCAGCAGCTCTCCTGCCAGTTTGGTTGCCCTGGTTTCTGTGTAGTGTACATTCCTTTACCTTCGAGTGCCCCAAGGCAGCAGCAATACTAGTTTGCTCTCTTTGGAGCTGCAGCATGTTGTGTTGGGCTTGGCACGCTCTCTTCTCTCCGACTTGCACCTACTTTTATGTTGGTGTATTAAATGCCAGCTGTGCCTCACTGGGGTTGCAGGTCCACATAGAAGAATCCTTCAAGATAAAAGGAGAGTACTGAAGTTGTTTGTTTGCATCGGTGCTTTGGGGCACAGGTGGAGATGGAAAAGATAAAAACTGGGCGTCCAGACATACAAATGAGACTATGGCCTTTTATGTTTTTCTTTTTTTCTGGCAGTTGTGACTGCTGGAAAGGTTTATGGAAGCTGCTTGCATCTCACTCAGTAACTGATGTGAGAACCAGAAAAACTGTTCCTGCTGTGCCCCTTGCAAGACTTGTGTCTGATGACACGCTACCTCTGCCTGTGCAGTGGTCTGCCGTAAAGAAAACTTTGGTTGTTTTCTGTATCCCTCTTGCTAATGATTAAATGTTGAGGTCTGCTGCCTTAGTCACTAGGCCTTTCCAAGCCTGCAGAAACCAAATGTAAATTACACCCTTGAAAGGCTGCCTGGAAGTTCAGGATCCCTTGTCTACCATAACCTTTGTGCTCTTTTTCAAGCAAGTCCAGCTAATGCTTCCTAAGACACTTTTGCCATTGCTAGGGCCACAAGAAATGAACTGGGCAAACTATTTGGGACAGTAATAGCCAAACTAGCAGTGATCTGTGTATAAGATCTCTGGTGCCCTGTTGTGTTTTTTCCCCTATCTTATTTGTCTTCTTTCCCCCAGTTAAGCTGGAGATGCTTAGTGCCAAATACTTGCTGGAACTTTTTCCTACCTAAAGAAAAGACAAGGGGTCTGGTTATGGGGGAGATAGGCTATAATGTCTGTGAGGGAAGGGGCATTGGTTTCAGCTGCTGCTTCTGTGGGACAGGATGAGAGCACAGTCTGGGTCCCCTCTTTGTGAGAGAGCAAATTAGAGTTCCCATATTTCCCAAAGCAGGTGGAGTACCCACGCTTTCCATAAAAACAGTGACGGGGAGTATCTGAAGTGTGTGAGGGAGCTTTAAGATTAGAGTTTAGGCATTAAAAAAAGGATGTGTGAGCTGGCATTGTAGAGAGGACACGGATTAGGGCTGTAAGCATTAAGCACTTGGTTCAAAAGAGGTGAATTTGACATGAAACAATAGCTCATGTAGACCTTGCTGCACAATACAACAGGAGAGAACTTTGAGCTTCTCAATGTGTGAAACTGAGGACCATGGAAAAGGCATGTGAGGATTTGGAGGCCGATGAAGCAGATGGCAGCTAAGCACAAAATGTTTTTAATGAAAATGTATCCTTATTCATTTTTGAATTGGTTTGACAATGGCCCGAGAAGATACGGTGTATGAGGAGCAGGAGGGAGAGAATGACAGTGAGTGGGAAGAGTGGTCCATATGTGCCTTCTACTAAAATGTTTAAACATATGGAGACAGTAACATGATGTATTCTCACAAATATTCGGAATCTGCTCCTGTTTGTTTACACGGAGCTCAGAAGATAATGCAGTTGAGTGGTGTCGTTTGACATGGCTCCATTGACTTGTGCAGTGCTTACAGTGTGCACCAGCTGGGAATCTGCTCCCTGTTGATTCAGCAGAGTAGTGCTGAAAACCATGTGCTGCACTTCCCCCCCCACCCCCTTTCTCTTCTTCTCTTTCCCTCTCTGAGGAGTATTCACTGTATTCCCCTGTCCTTTAGAAATAGTGAACATACGTGAACTGTGTAGGCAGCAAGAGAGGGGAAGAAGTTGGGAGCCAGAGATGATGAATCAAATTATTCTTATTTTGCTTAAAATTGTATTTGCATGCTTTTTTTTTTTTTTTTTTTCTTAAACACTGAAATACAGTAGATATTATATATGTTAGCAGAGAACAACATGCTTTAAGTTTTACTTTTTCAGCAAGCAAATTAGCTGGTCTCTGTAACACTAATCCTACCTCTGCTGGTTTATAAAAAATTAAGTATCGTATAAACCTGACCATATTTTGAAATGGAGAGGTTGTTTGTTGGTTGTATTTGGTTGGTATGCAAACTCTTCAGCAAATAAACATCTTCTGAAAGGAGTAAACAGACAAAAAGATAATAATTGTAAAAGGCACAGTTGGTGTCACTGAGTTAGAAAAATCTGGAGTACATTAAAAAAAAAAATTGTTAGTGTTTTCCTTCTGAATGAAGTTTTTTGCTGACTTTCGCTCCCTTCCTGAGAAGTTTGCTCTCCAGCCAGAGGTTTCCCAGAATTTTTATTATGGCTGTGAGAGCATATTTAATTAGTAAGCTGGAATGGCCGCAGAGCAGTTTTGGCCAATCTGCAGTTAATTACTGTAGCAGTGGTTTATATTCTGAGAAAAGGGCTAAAATTAAACAAA